AAATTGGCTCCCAGCATGCACCAGGGCAGAAGATGCATGGGTCGAGCTAGGCCTCAAACCCTTCCACGTAGGACTTCCCAGGAACCACATAGGTGTATCCTATACCAGTAGAGAGTAAAGGCCCACAAAAATGGCTGGGATGGACCCTCCATGTGCCTCCCATTGCTCACCCTGATATAAATCAATAAAGAGTATTTTTCAAGGGTGTGCAAATGTTCTCTACTTTGGTCTGACAATCTGGATTCAGGCCTGAATTTGTGTAGTCCAATCTGGAAGCTAATATGAACTGAAAATTGGAATTCTTAATGTTCACATCTATCAGTGATTCACACAGGGAAATGAGGATTTGTCATTTCGGCGATGGTGCCTATTTATGACATTTAGGAAAATGGTCACAGCCTCAAGTTTAATCCTGCCAAATTCCAGGCAAATAAATCCAGGTTTTCTTACACTGGCCAGTTTTTAAAGCTTCCTTTTTAAAACAGAATTAATCAGAATCCTATTAGCCATTTATGCTGGTCTTAAGTGCAATGGCATAAGCTGCAGCAGAGAACTGGCACTAGTTTATGAGCCGCTGCTTGTATTCTTTTTCTGCCAGTCATAAACGTTGAGTGCCAGTTCTTTGCACTCAAGAAGGAATATTCGTTAAGCAAAGACACTTTGCTGCTGTGACTTACACCATCGCATTTATGGTGGCACACAAAACCAATACGTTTCAGGCCTATAACTTTTTCCTTAGAGGGAAACGTTCCTTTTATGGCACTGTTTTGCAACATTTCCAAGATTCCTTGCCTAGCTATCTTCTACTTTCTGAGTGGCTAAATCAGTCTGAAGTGATTGAGAGTGATCCCGTCCTCTCTAGATCAATCTAAATCATCCTGATTTAGTCTGGGATTCATCCAGGATGGTAGCATAGCCCACCCTTATTATATTCCTTAGTGCAGAGAAATGTAGCCATCCCAGAATAAATTCAATAATGTCAATAAAAATGTAAGTTTTCCTTCAAACTGCAGATGCTCATCTGTACAGCCAGCTGTAGAACTTAACAACTTACTAGGAGGCCTCATATTCTCCCCATATTCAGATTTTTCCATGGTTAAAAACAAACAAACAAACCCAGATGTCTCCCACAGGCAGAAGTCTGTTTTTCTTAGTAACACTGTCTGCGTTCTTTGCGAGCCCTTGACTGATCTGATTTTGGAAAAAGACGATTGAATGTCACTTGCAAATTTGGATCTAAGCGAAAGACCAGTAGACATTGATGTGTTAATTCTTTATGGCAGGTGAGATCAGTTAAGACTGACACCTGTTCAAACAGAAAAGTGCTTTATTATTGCCACTTACTGAGCACTTTGGTTATCTGTCACTTGGGGACGAAGCACACAGGAGCTGACAAGATGGGACGTGTGAAACAGCATCCCTGGGTCATCTTTTCCTCTTTCCTGGAATATGATTTTTGACAACCTGCTCTCTGGGGCAGCTACAGAGTTACAGTTTAATAGGTGGTGAAAGGGGTTATTACAGAGGGTATCTATGTCTTACGGCTACAGCTCACCCCAAGTTCAAAGTTATATTCAACCATTTAAAATCTTTAAAAGCGGATTGATATAAATGGAATTTCACTTCCAGAATTAATGAACATGCACACCAGAATGTGCTCTTCAGCATCATTTGGGTTTTGCTTTCCTTATCTTAAAAGCCCCAGTGTAGTGAAATGCATGGGTTTTCCTTCTGTATTCCAAGCAATCCAACAGAACACATCATAAATTAGGGGAGAAGTTAAGTAATGACATATCAGCTTGCCTCAGATACACCTTGTTCCTTACTACTGGTCTGCCTTTGCAATGTGCAGTTCAAAGAAAACATTGGGTTTATACACTCTTCATGTGAGGCCATGGTGATAACCCCCAAATCTCTCTTTTTTGTTTCTTGTTTTTCAATGGTTTCAGACTCCAGTTGCTGCATAGAGGGAAGCAGCAGTCATACGTATGGACCCTTTCTTTCCACCCTTCCTACATGGTATGTTCTTGGTCTATATAGAGCTGCCTCCATGTAGGCATCCTTCAGTCTCGAGGGACTATGGTAACATGCTCTGAATAGAGGTCTTGGAACAGCATCTAGTGTGGCTGAGAAGGCCAAATCAAGAGTGACAATCCCTTCCACACTGAAGACAAATATAGTCTGTCCCCTGTCCAGCTCCCTGAATTTCCTGGTTTTTGGACTGCCTCTTTGCCTCTGCCTGCTGGACGAGGGTCTCTTCAAATTGGGAGAAGCCTTGATGCACTGCCTGCCTCCAAGCTGAACGTTCAGATGTCAGGGTTTCCCATCTGTTGAAGTCCGTTTCTGAGGCCTTCAGATCCTGCTTGTAGATATCCTTGTATTGCAGCTGTGGTCTCCCTCTGGGGCGATTTCCCTGCACTAATTCTCCCTACAGGAGATCTTTTGGAATCTGACCATCAGCCATTCTCACGACATGCCCAAGCCAACATAGATGTCGCTGTTACAGTAATGTATATATGCTAAAAATTCCAGCTCGTTCTAGGACTATTCTGTTTGGAACTTTGTCCTGCCAGGTGATACCAAAAATCCATCAGAGGCAACGCATATGGAAGTTGTTCAACTTCTTCTCCTGCCGTGCACAAAGGGTCCAGGACTCACTGCAGTACAGGAGTGTGCTCAAGACACAGGCTCTATAGACCTGAATCTTGGTATATGTCGTAAGCTTCTTATTAAACCATACTGTCTTTGCGAGTCTAGAGAACATGGTGGTTGCTTTGCCAATGCATTTATCCAGCTCGACATCTAGGGACAGAGTGTCAGAGATCATTGAGCCAAGGTATACAAAGTCATGAACAACCTCTAGTTCTTGTGTAGAGATGGTAATAGAGGGAGGTGAGTCCACGAGTCCCTAGAGGCCCTCTAAATATGCTAGGCCTAACTGCAGCTTCCTCTCTGATAGCTATGGTAGTCTGCCATCTAGTGACTGAAGACAATCTTACATGATGAAGATTTAAATTAAATGAATTTAATGAAATACTGAAGACAATCTTACATGATGCAGATTTAAATTAAATGAATTTAATGAAATAAATTTAAAAATCAACAAATCCTGATGTACATATCCCAATAGTCCCCTTGGTAGGCATGGTTAGCTTTAAGTCGCTACACTTCCAGTCTTGGAGTTACAGTGGAGACGGATGTAAACACAACACACTCTTTTTACAGATTTATTTATCTTCATAGAGGATGAATAACATCTGGTCCTACAGAAGCTGCTGGAAACCATGACTAGAGGTTAGTGATAATTAGAATTATAGTACCAAACATTTGGAGGGTCCCTTTCCTGATTTGCACATCTAGTATCCCGCTTCTAAGCTACCAGATCTTGAGTAAGCAATTAACTCCTTACTACTATTTCAAGTGACACTGCATAAGAACACTTAAAAGCCTGCAAGATGCTGTCAGCCACATGGTACAGTGTTGCCTCGCATAACGAGCCCACCTTTTAATGACGAATCCGAATAGCGATCTATTTTTTTAGATCGCTAATGCGATAGCATTGCAATGTTTTAATGGGCAAAACATCGCATTGCGATGATTGGTAAGCGTTCTTAAAACAGCTGATTGGCAGTTCCAAAATGGCCGCAGGGTGCCCAAAATGGCCGCCGCAACCATTTTCGCATGGTTTCCTCACTTACCGAGGGCGCAAAAATAGCAGCGCTATGGAGGAACTTCGCTGAATGGTGAGTTTGGGCCGCACTCCTATGGATTTTTCCGTTCTGTTTAGCGATGTTTCTACATAGCGACGATTAATCCGGAACAGATTAATGTCGCTATGCGGGGCACCATTGTACTTACTTTCATTACAAATAATACCAGTCCATCCAGCTGGGCAAGTGCAGCTAGTGTTGTCACTGTTGCATTATCCTGCATTCATACAGTCAGAACAACTTAAGCTGCAGTCATTACCAAACATATTATCCAGGCAAACTAAAATGAAAAAGCACAGGCATCAAACTTGTATGTCAGACACAGCCAGAGCACATGCGTACTGCCAACACCTTTCTATGACAAAGATAAATCTTGGCCATCTTCTAAGATGCAAAGGGGGAAGAGGCAAAGTGCAGTCTGTAGAAAGTACACTCCTCAGACTTTCCTACTGCTGACTAAGAAATAGGTTTCTCTAGCAAAAAGTAGCGAAGCACCATTCTTGGTTGCCTCCAGGAGCAGAAATCAGTCCAAAACAACAACAACAACAACAACAACAACAACAACAACAATCATCATCATCATCATCATCATCTTCATCATCATCATCTTCATCATCATCATCTTCATCATCATCATCATCCTTGGATTATTGAGTTGAAAGGGGCCTCTAAGGCCATCAAAGCCAATCCCTTGCTCAACACAGGAATCAAAATCAAAGATTTGACAAATGGTTGTCTAATGTTCCCTTGAAGGTCTCCAGCACTTCAAAAATGGAATTCTACTGCTCCTGTATAAGATTCATTATTGGTTTCCCCACTTCCATTTGTGTGATCTGTGCAGTTCCTTGAAGTTCTTGGGGGGGGGAATGGGCTCCAGATGCACCAAAACTTCAAACCATGCTCTGTGGTCATTGTCCAAGAGAGAAAGCCCAAGGCAAAAAGGGCTTTAGGTCACATCTGTTTCATTGGTCATACTCTGCTCTGCTGTGTTATACAGACATTAGTAGAGTGTGAACAGCAGCTTTAACACCCTCTGTGGAATGAAGAGACAAGCAGCAGCATCTGCAGACACATAAAGTTTGTTCTTTATTTCATTCTCTTTACAGAAAAAACTCATTCCGGACAAAGCTGATCCTGCATAATATAGACATATGACCCTGGGGAGGTTCTCTTTTCTATCATGGCTGATGATTCTCCCCTGGAAATACAACTTGTTAATATATCTTCACTCTGAAAGGTTTTTAGAAAACATTCTCTCACCAGCTTTTTGTACAACAGTAAGCTCTCTGCGGATGTCTTCAACCTGACCATCAAAGAAGGAGTCTAGTGAAGTACCGTAGTGGAGGAGGTGAGGTGTTCTTCTAAAGTGAAGGTCAGGGATGCTGGCAATCTCCAGCTCTTCTTGTTCCACTTCTTCCAGCTTGTTTTCATCTAAAGCTAAGATTGGAGATGTAACCATGACATTTTCAAGTCATCAAACATTGTCCTCTTCTTGTGTAGAAAACATAACCTTTATTTTGATATTCATGCCTAAACTCATAAGAAAGGAAGGTGATGATGTGTTAGCTGGTCTCGCCCTTTTTGACATCTAGCTCATCTAGTCCCTCCATCCATTAGATGAAATGTCACATATGATTCAGAGCCCTGGGGTTGGGAAACTGAGAAGAAACAAAGGGGGGAAGAATTTATGAAACCATCGCTGCTCTCCCTTCATCATGTGATCACTTTAATAGCTGAACAGTGCTGCTGCTAAAAGCTATTAACAAAAGCTAGTTCTGGTTTTGAATCCAGCTCTGTACACATCAGCACATTGGTAGTTTGAATGGGAACAACTAAAAGAGGAAAAGAAATCATCCAAAGCCATCTGAAGCCTTCAACTCTTGAGCACATGCAAAAAGAAAAATCACCTCAGGATGTGTGAAGGAGAAATAGAAAGAAGAAAGAGAGAGGAGAGTGTGCCATCTCCCCAAATAGTAGTGGCACATAAAGAAGGAGAGAGAAAGGATACAGAAGGATTGATTGCAAAGGAAAATGATGAGAAGGGAGTGAAGGAGAAAGAAGTAAAGGTGGAAGTTTGTTTGGTAGAAGAAGGAAAGGGAAAGGAAGGGGAGGAGTTAACCTTGCCAGTGTGGGAGGAAGCTATAAAGGAGGAGGAAAAGAGGGGAGTTTTCAATATTCCGCAGGAAGAGATGAGAAACGAAGGAGAGTCTACTTATGGAAAAGCACAAGAATTTGTGGAGGACTTCCCCAACTTAAAGGTGGGAGGATTGTTATCTGACCCTGAGCAAAAAGAAAAGAAAGTGACAATAACTGAAATGCAAGAAAGGACAGTGGTGGTTTTCCCACAAGGACACGGTCATTGGAGGAGGGTGATCAGACCCAATTCATCGTTCAATCAACCACCATGTGAGGGGGATTTGGCTCTGAATCCCTGTTGTGGCACGATATGTGGAGTGAGGAGCGCTCCGCTGAGGAAGCCCATGGACAAGGAACGGTTCAGGCCAGCCCCACAATAGACTCTCCCAAGCCACCTTTTGAATTTCTACCTTCCCCTTAGGAACAGTTACCCAATTTGAGTTGTTTTGACCCAGTTGAAGTTATTGTTGAATCCCCGAATGTTAAACCAAATAAATTTGTTAATCGTTCAAACGACTCTTCCTGGTTAATTGCCACCCAAAAAGAGGAACTGCTCCAACCTTCAAATGAACCTAATCACAGGAAGAAAAATGTCATGCTTTGTATTTTGGCCGTCTTCTCCTCTAACAGTCAAATACAGTTAAATGTGATTAAATAACATTATTCCCTAATTGCAAACTCTAAACTTGAAACAAAGTTCTCTATTTTTAAATGCATGGAATTATTTTCTCTGGATCAACACATTTTTATCCTGGTGCCGTTTTTACTTGTTTTTAGTTTAATATGTTGTTTCTTTGGTATTTTATATTTTAATTTTTCATATATATCCCACTATAAAACTTATTGTTAATGGGTAGCACAGAAGCACTATATACACATAAATAAACCATGGTTCTATTTATTTGTAGTCCATATTTTCTCCAATGAACTCAAGACAGTGCACATGGTTTCTCTCCTTGTCACCTTATCTTTCCAGATGCTGCAATGGAGGGAAGCATTGAGTGGCCCAAGATCAGTAGGCTGAATCCAACTGAAAAACTACACCATCGTAACTCCACAGACGCAAATTTCAGATATAAAGTGCTGCAAATTAGGAAACCTTTGCTGTTGCACAATGATTAAGCAAATTCCTACATTGATTTCTTGGGGAGGTTCACAGTTTAACATGTGACAATTCACAGCTGAGATTTATTCCAATGGATTTATGTCGATGGGTGCAACTAACAGGATTCTGGCCAGTTTCATATACTAGAAAGATCTAAGGTGCCCAATAAAAGCACATCAGTTCAGAAAGAAATTGCTACCAAGCAAGCTGTAACCTACTGGCCTTAAACCCCTCAAGTTTCCGCACGAGTTATACATGTTGTTATCCCGGGAAACCAGCAATAGAAGAGTTACATGTGTAATGTGGACCCATTTGTTAGACAAATGGAAGGGTGAGTGCAGCCTGTGTATACCAAGCAGTTTCTGTGGGACCGGCGTCTAGAAAGAAGGCATAAAGCTTACTTTGCCCAGGACCCTATGGGTGAGCCTAGAAATCTAACCAAGAACAGAAATTCGATGGAATGCTGATGTTGTGAACCCTTGCCTTATGCTCAATATGTGTTTCAGCATATAAGAAGTGCAGTAACACCAGAAGCCTCCAGCAACTTTCTTCTAACAAATTGGCGCAAGTTCAAAGGAGGGCAACATGAATGACAAGAGGACTGGAAACTGGGCCCTTTGAGGAAAGACTGGAAGAACTTGCATGTTTAGCCTTGAAAAAAGAAGAGTGAGGGGAGATATGATAGGACAGGATCTGTTCTTGGTCATCCCAGAGTGCAAGTCATATAATAATGGGCTCAAGCCTATAGGAAGCCAAATTTAGGCTGCATAGCAGGAAAAACGTCTTAATTGTTAGAACAGTGTGACAATGGAACCTTGGGAGGAGGTAAGTGTTCTAATGCTGGAAGCATCAAAGAGAAAATTAGACAATCATCTGTCATATCGCTGGAAGCATCGAAGAGAAAATTAGACAATCATCTGTCATGTTGGCTTGGAATTGCACTCCTGCATTGAGCAGGGGGTTGGACTTGATGGCCATACAGGCCCCTTCCAACTCAGATATTCTGTGATTCTATGAAACTCATGTCTCTGCTAGGACTTCTGAAACTTTTAGTTCTCCATGTAGATTGTGGGGTGTGTGCACACACCAGTATTTCTGAGCTAATTTTAATATCTAGGTAAAACCAGAGTATGACTAGTATGATGCTACAGTCACAGGCACTGCTAAGTAGAAACTGCTTTGCTATCAAATACACGAACATTCTTTCTGACATCTTGTCCTATAGAAGTCTTCCCTCCAAAAACCAGATAGGATTTCAAATATCCTTTTACATCTGTAAAACTCTTTGAAGCAAGAGACCTTCTCAGATAAAATCTAACTTTTAAAAGTCTATGATACCTTTTTCAAAGGAAAATAAAATTGTTATAACTCAGTAACCACCACTACCACCGCACCGTGCCTTTCCACTGCTGAAATTGCATCTCTGAAAACTGCTGACCCACATAAGATGAAACAAGGGGTGGGGGGAAAAAAAGAAGAAATGAGGTACAGGTTGAGCTAAGTTGATGGGCTCTCCGAAAGATGAGGTGGATGCTGAATGTGCAAAATTCCTCAAATGAAGCAACAAGAGAAGAGAAAGGTCAGTGTGGCAATTAACCTTGGAAAGGGTGCTAACATTATTAGGGAGTACAGTCAACCCAAGAAAAGGATGAAGAGAGTGTGATCAATCAATGGAGGTTAGAGGCCAGCATGAAATTGATTAATGCAAGTTATTGGAACTTGCAACTTTGCTTTCCTGAAAATGTCACCGAAAAGCTGGTGGGCAATATTTCAGATCATAACAAAGATCTCGGTTCTATTCATAGCCTTCACACCTCAAAACATGTCAATTGTTCATTCAGAGGGGGAGGGAAACCTATTTCTCTCTTTGCCTTTTTTTTTTAAAAAAAATTCTTTTAATGGAGGATGAGTTTCTTGATGGAAAGGATTCCAATAATCCCATAATCTCTTACAATTGACTACTCAGGGTATGGTTGATATATTAAAAGTATAAAAGGTTTAAAATTCTCTACCCTTGGTATAAATAAGTATGGAAATTATCACTGTTGCCTCTGGTATAATCTCTTCTTACTTAATGAAGCCATCGCTGGATGGCTTCATTAAGCAATGAGCTATCTTTAACAAAGGTCAAGTGGCAGCTGGTCCCTCCAGTTTTTGGGAGGAGGGCTGTGAATCCACTCCGGGTTTTAATCTGTGTTTCAAAGGAGCTATCCAGGGTGCTGAACACTATTTCCAAAATAGTTTCGGCACCTCGGATAATTCTCGTAAAATGCAGACTAACATCACAGTGGATTCACTGTGCTCCCTGACACATATACACCCCCGGGGTTACTGGAGTTACTAGCTGTAAGATATACAAAAAAACAACAACTCTGAACACTGAAAATACCATTAAAGTACTACCTGCTAAGGATATTCTATTGTTTATACTGAACGTGTTGAAAGTAGTATTCAAATTAAACAAGGCTGTATAAAAACTTTTGCTGTATAATAAAGCTTTGTAAAGTAGATTGCCCTCTTTGCCTGCTGAAATTATGGGTATTTTCGTGTCTTTTTGTCCTGGCTTGGCTTGGTCCTTTGATAGGGAAGGAGCCTAAGAACAAATACAGCTAGTAGTGCTGTAAGGGTTAGCGAAAGTCACAGTAGTCAGTGGGCTGTCCAATCATTTTAAAAAACATAGCTATTAAAACACTGCCCAATCACTTTATCTGCAATTCAGTAGACAGATAGCTTTGGGTCAAAAAGACATAGGTTCAAATTCTTCCTCAGCCATAAATCTCAATGGGAAAGACTGACTCTTTAGGTGTGTGTGCTGTTTTGGGTTGATGAGAAAACAGTCTTTGATTTGGGATGGGCAGCTTCTATACATCTGGGTTACCCCCTGGAACCAGTATAGTAAAGGAGAATGTGTTTTACTGCTGCCAATTATGTTTCCAAAATTTGGTGGCAAAGCAGGAAAAACGTGTGGTTTCCGCTTTGAAAGTAACAGACACAAACACAACCAAACTTTGAAAGTAACAGACACAAACACTCCTACAAATCATGCAGTTGGGGAACTTGCAGAGGTCAAGCCTGGTGGAATGCAATAACAGATGAGCCTCACTATGGGAAAACCTCCTTCAAGATATCTGTCTTGCGTCCATATTTGACTTTTTACTTTTAAAGTGCCATTTCTCTTTCATGCACACTTTGTTTAGAAACAGATTCATGCTTCTGGGATGATTCCAGTAGCACACGTCTACTTCTAAGCATGGTGACTTTCTGGACAGCAAATACCTATGGAGACTTCCTAATTTAATCTGCCAATTAAATTTATTGTGATGGGTTTACTCATAATTTCTCAGCTGGACTCATAAAATGAAAAGAGTCAGAACATGTCAGTCACACACTAGGATATGAAAAATACAGATTGTTACAACTAATCTGTTTTTAAAATCATTCTAGGTAAAACAGATGGCAGAAGAGCTACAGGAAGCAGAACATTGGTTGAATAATTGGGGAGGGCTGGCTTAGATACAACACATCATTATTTACAGCCAATGACCTCAAGTCAGAATCATGATGATGCCCAGTCTCTGGTAGGAAAGGAACGACAACAAGAAAAACATGTAAAGCTGTGTAATTGTCAACACAACACCTCATTTGATGAGGAATGAAGGCTCAATTCCCATCTAGAGAGAAAAGACTAATCCAGTAGCTGCTTAGTTAAAATATTTTCTAGCGACTGGTCATATCTGTGAATACACTTGCCTTCTCTCAGTTCTCCCTGTTCACTATTCTTTTAATTGTATGCACATGAGGAGAAGTTTGTGTGACTGAAATTGATTTTTCTGGGTTGGGGTGATCATCTGTCTATCCATCACTAGCCAATTGTTCCTTCCAGTCTTGATTTCAAAGGCAGCCCTGCTTCTCTGCTGAGTGTATGTTCCCCTTTCTGTTTGACACAGTTGTTTGTTTGTTTTGCTGTTGATCTGTTCAGTTGGTTACTAAGTATGTGCAGAAAGAACGCAGAATGCACAAGTCTGTAATTACAAGCAAATGTAAGTAAATAATTTTTTTACATTATTTCTACTACAAATGTATCAGAGTGAGCTATTGACACTTTAACTGCCAGTTAATGAGAAAGGGGTGGGATCTAGGAAACATATATTGTCCTCTTTGAGTCTCTGTACTTCTACTGTGTAGCAAAAGGGAATTTTACCAGAAATTCAAAAATCTGATATAGAAAGGAAGAGAATTATAAAGAACAATCTCTGGTTTTGGGGGAAATGGATCTAATTAATTCAACTTTGCAAGATTTTTTCCATACTGTGTTAGGAAATAGAAGCAGCCTTGCCAGGAGATGGATAGATAGCTGCCTAGAACACTGCCCAATCACTTTATCTGCAATTCAGTAGACAGATAGCTTTGGGTCAAAAAGACATAGGTTCAAATTCTTCCTCAGCCATAAATCTCAATGGGAAAGACTGACTCTTTAGGTGTGTGTGCTGTTTTGGGTTGATGAGAAAACAGTCTTTGATTTGGGATGGGCAGCTTCTATACATCTGGGTTACCCCCTGGAACCAGTCTAGCCGCCTAGAGTGGACGAGTAGTCCAGATAGGTGGGGTATAAATCAAATAAATAAATAAATAAAGATGTGCACTGACTCAGAAGGTGACACATTTGTTTGGGTGCTCTGGCATCCTCTTCCTTACCCATCCAAACTCACCAGGTTCCATGGTTCCCTCCCCCTACAAGGAGTTGGTGGTGCGAGAGAGAGAAAAAAACTATATTGACATGTAAGTATCCGTGCTGCACAGGTTAGCGAAAGCCACAGTATCCTTCAATGTGACATCTATTTGATCATACATAACCTATGTGTGTCTTCCCTTCAAATCCAAGAGGTAACCTTGGTTACAAGAGCAGAGTGGTCTGTTGTTGGAGTGCTCACAGTGGCACAAACAACCTCAATTGTTGTCTTCACAGCTGTTGACAATTTTCATTTCAATGCCTTTCAGAAAACGGATCAGAGCAAGGTCAGTACATAAATATCCATGGTAGGTGGGATCAGGAACAGAACATTAAACAAAGCACTGACTGGTGTCAAGGATGGCCATAGTCCTAGCAGGGCCCATTGCAAAGAACCTTCTGGTCTTGCTCTTCTTTTTCACCATTGAGATGATGCTCCATGCACAGGAATGACTACATCTCTAATTCCAGTGCTGATAAGTGAACCATGTTGCCTCAAAGGCAGCAAGGTAAAATAAAAGATGGTGTGTTTTTTTTGCTCACTTGATTCTTACTTTGGACCACAGCAAATGAGACGTGATGAGATGCAGGAGCAGAGGGTGCCAATTGCCTCTCAGGGAAGCAAACAGCAGCAAGGACAAGAAAGAGGAAGTGGAAGGATAACAGTGAGAAGGGAGACTCATTCAGTAAGGGACCTATCGAGGTTTACTTGCCCGATAGCTTCAGAGGACATGACGTAGCACACTTCTCCACACAGGAGATACCATCTCTTCTGAAGCTATTGGGTAAGTGGTCCATACAGACCCACTCTCCCAGAATATTCTGTCCCTTCTCTTCCCCAATTTTTAATTTTTACTTCCCAAAGACAGCCAGTATTCTGTGTCCAGACCTCACAGACTTGTCTTCCATTCTTCTCTTCTTCCCCTGAAAATTGTGTATACTTCTGTAGTTTCTTGACTGTACTAATGACTCCCTCTCAAGGATCTATTATACCATTTAGACCACATAAAGATACATATCCAGAGAACATTTTTTTTCAGAAAGAACGCAGAATGCACAAGTCTGTAATTACAAGCAAATGTAAGTAAATAATTTTTTTACATTATTTCTACTACAAATGTATCAGAGTGAGCTATTGACACTTTAACTGCCAGTTAATGAGAAAGGGGTGGGCTCCTGAATCTTTACGGGAAACAGAAAGAGAGCCATCATGTCTGGCCTTTTCTATCTGTGGGCTGCAGCAGCCAATGACAGAAGCTAGAACTGGCATAATGATTCCTTCCAATTCATATAGATACAGATGCTCTTGTAAGATTTGGATCAGGAAATAGTCAAGAGAATGAAATATAGATAATTAGACTGCTAATGGTGGGAGTCATTCCCATCTGCATAGATATTCGCTACATTATTATGGATGTTTCTTCTTCAATCATCTTTTGATGAAAATATTTGCTTCCAATCCACATCCTGAATAGGTTTGGCCTATATTAACATTTCCTTCACTAAGTTTGATGAAGACAGCTGTTCTGCAGGGGAACAAATATTAATTCTATGTCTTTCAAAGAGCAACAGTCTTAGAGTCCCCTACAAGTTCTATCCACCCACAGGGAAGATTCTGCTGAGGATGAAAACAGCATGAAGTCTACTATTCAGGCTCTTAGAATAGCTCTGAAATATGGTGAAATGGTACCTGCCCTTTTTGATAAGGACTGATTTTTTTTAATCCACTTTTTTAATCCAGCTCAACATGGCATGCCTTTTCTGGTTTAGTTTAGCTCTTCCTGCTTATTGCTGGAGTGGCTTCCTTACATTCTACACTTAGTGGTCCCAAACCCTTTGCCCCCTCAGGCAAAAGACGAAATGATGCTCTGTGCACCAGAGTGACTAAATTTCTTATTCCAGTGCTGATAATTGGACTATGTTGCCTTGAAGGCAGCAAGGTAAAATAAAAGAGTTGTGTTTTTTTGCATGCAAATATATGTCAGCAGCTTTTATTGCATATCTTATTTAATGAAGGCAACTTTGTCTTCCCCCTGTTCCCAGTTCTCTACAAAGACAGTTTGAGCATTGCCGACCAAGTCTTTCTCATGCTGAGTGGTATCGTTTAGAAGAATGGAGGAACAGTGTGACATCAGTTTTGCAGCCAACCAGTTCTACAGTCTTGAACTTCTAATACCCCAATTATTTTCATTATCGAAAACAGAACTTCAGATAGGGCGGGCTTGTGAAACAGACTTGATAAGTCTGTAACAAAATCCTGTAAGGAAATATATAGATTTGCATATATGAGGGGAATATACCTCCCCCCCCAAAAAAATGTACTATGTATCCAGGATACAAAATTAGAGAACAGCCATAAAATTGGTACTTTCCATAACTCTAAGAATGCTTAGAGTTAAGGTAAATTAACATCTTTAAGGTAAATTCGTGGCACTGTTTGCTTTTTTTAAATGTAAGAGATATTGTTCACTGTTCTGAATTTGCACTCATGCATATAGAAATCTGTGACTCTACATAAGAGTCTCTGCAAAACTGGGAACTTCAGTATGATGTACTCTCTGCAGAGAGTTATGATCAGAATGGCTATTAAAAGACAAAAGGAAGCAAAGAACCTGAAGCAAGGATATAGAACTTCTCTTGGGTAAAAATGGTTGCACAAATGAATCAAGGAATCATTTCCCACCATCTCATCAATCTAACTGGCACGACATGCTTGTCTTTACAGAGCTGCAATAACACTGTCACTTACGGGAACATTGCCTTCCATCAGCTCCTTTTCAAACCCAGGATTACAAAGGCAGGCAAAGGAGTCCAGAGTGTTCACACAGAGATGAGAGCACCTGGTTGTCCCCTCTGAACACTCATCAACATCTGCAAAACAAGAGTTGAAGAGAAGATTAGCTGCAGAGCACATAAGCAATGCCTCCGTACCACCCCCCAGTGCCTACTTTTGGGGAACATTTCGAAATGTATGACTCAGCCAAGGAATCCACATGCATTGTTGAAGATTCTCAGGCACATTTCAGGGTTGAGGGCCATGCATGGAGAACCCAAGACTAACTGCCAAATATGTATGGACGGCATCCTTCTGAATTTCTCATCATTCAACCAACTTAAAGGTCCCATACTCTTGTAAACATCAGGCCTGACTTGATTATGCAAAGAGATTGTGATCATTGTCAACTTTTAGATTCTTCCATTTATTTCTCATCATTCAACCAACTTAAAGGTCCCATACTCTTGTAAACATCAGGCCTGACTTGATTATGCAAGGAGATTGTGAACATTGTCAACTTTTAGATTCTTCCATTTATTTCTCATCATTCAACCAACTTAAAGGTCCCATACTCTTGTAAACATCAGGCCTGACTTGATTATGCAAAGAGATTGTGATCATTGTCAACTTTTAGATTCTTCCAAATATTTTTAATCATTCAACCAACTTAAAGGTCCTATACTCTTGTAAACATCAGGCCTGACTTGATTATGCAAAGAGATTGTGAACATTGTCAACTTTTAGATTCTTCCAAATATTTTTAATCATTCAACCAACTTAAAGGTCCTATACTCTTGTAAACATCAGGCCTGACTTGATTATGCAAAGAGATTGTGAACATTGTCAACTTTTAGATTCTTCCATTTTTGTTGCCATTTTTGTTGCCAGCTTTTTACCTGGACATGACTTCCCATCTGCGGAAAGGTGGTATCTAGAATAGCATTCACATTTTGCAAGTCCACTTTCATGTTGGCAGATGTGCGAACACCCTTCATTTCCACTTGCACAGGGGTCTGTCTCTGAAAGCAACCACCAAGAAAGCTGTGTGTTATGGAAGTGAAAAGATTTAGTGGGAATACTTCACCTGCATTAATTGCAAACCACAAAAAGCAGTTTTAGAACATATTTTTACACCCGTGTCTCAAGAACTGGACTGTAATTCATGAACACTCTCATTGATTTATGTGTATTAGCCTTAAACGTGCCATCATACTTTTGCTTGTAGTATTCCTGAAAAAGACCAATATGATTGTTGTTACATGCTGCCAAGTTGGCTCTGACTTATAGCAATCGTATGAATGAGAGATCTTGAAAAAGTGCAGTCTTCAACAACCCTGCTCAGCTCTTGTAAAATCAGGCTAGTGGTTCCTTTAGGGAGCCAATCCATCTCGTTGTTAGTCTTCCTCTTTTCCTGCTGCCTTCTACCTCTGGAGGATCAGACCTATGTTTTAGTCTATAAAGCAGAGACTGATCTTCATCTCAAATTCTTTGATGTGTTCCAGTAGTCAGGGAATGTTTGCAATATGAGCTCCAGTGGCTCTTCCTTTTCAGAATCCAGCTTGAGCATCAGGTATTTCTTGCTCCATATAAAGTAAAAGCCTTTGTTGCAACACTTTGAACATCATTTTGCTTGTATGGAAAATTTAAATAATGACCCTATATATCTGCGAAGATTTTCTGTCATCCAGGTGTGGGTATCTGGAAACTGACTTGTGGCAACTGGACTTCTTTCTTGTTAGGTTGAAATGTTTCACTACTCATCCAAGTAGCTTCTTCAGTCCTATACTATGGTCCTATACCAATGGTCACTGGATTCCTTTCATGGGGACTGTGGGCCGTTATTTTATTTTCCATGTTTATTGTCATTCTTGTTGGAACCTTGACAGATTCAGTCTCTGTGGCTTGAAATAGTTCTATTGGTATTCCATCTACTCTTAGTGATTTATTTCTTCCTACTGCTTTCAGAATGACTTTTACTTTCACTTCACTTACTAGAAATACAGGTTATTCATCATAGGATTCCCCTTCAAAGTGTTGTCATCTTTTTTTTATTTCTTCTGTATAGATTTTCAGTATACTGTTCCCAACCATCTCTTGAGGTCAGATAATGTGCTTCCCTGATAGTCATTCAGCATTCCTTATTCTAGGCTTGAATTAGCCAATGATTTCTTGGATCTTCTAGAAGAGATCTCTTTTTTCCCCCTAACATGACTAGCTCTCTGAAAAACCCTACAAGACAGGACAGCTTAACTATATTCTCTCTTTGTGTGTGAGTCACACATACACCAGTCAACCCACATAGTGGGCAAGAGCCAAGAGAAGCTGGTTTGCAACGTTTTTCACAATATTTACCACATTTTTAAAAAGTTCTTTCTGGTTCATAACCACTCAAATGTCCCTCTGGTAGAGAAACACAAGCCTCTTTGAAACTGGCCAATGTATACAATTGGTTTTGTATTCACAAGCTTGTTTTGCAACAACAAAAAGCAAAGTATTAAGGGATTTGGAGGATAACATCCTGTTGCAATGATGCTCTCTGCTTCCTGCAGTGCTGCTTAGCTTTCCAAAATATTCAGCAGAGATCTGACACAGATACATCCCCAGCCCTCTCTTCCTGCCAACGGTTTTCGGTGCCAGCAGTTCACACTGATGACATTCACCTCTATAGCTTCCTTTGCAGCTCAACAAATATAATTGCTGCAGCACGCCTGGCAAACCACGACTGGGTCATAATGATCAGAGATCTTGCTGTGAGGGATTACAGCTGAAGCACTACTGAAAAGTCTGTTAAATTGTTTGGAAACAAGCTTCCAAAAGCAGCAGGAGCCCTGACTCCGGAAGGAAGGAAGGAAGGAAGGAAGGAAGGAAGGAAGGAAGGAAGGAAGGAAGGAAGGAAATGAAAATTGAAAACATGTAAGAACAGACCTGTTGCCATTGCCAGACATATGGCCAATCTTTTCAGAACATTTAAGGCAAATCAGGTACCAATTGACGGTTATACCACTTTAGTGTTGTAACGTGACTGTGGCCCACTCTGACGTCACTGCCCTCTCTCAGGCTTCTCAGAATGACTACCACGCTACCACACACTCTTGCTGCCACCAACCTTTCCTTTAAATGAAAAGAACAAGGGTTTCTTTCAAAAATAAAACTGGCTTATTGATTACAAAATAAAATATGAAAATCACATGAAGATAATCAAACCAATCTTTTCAGAACATTTAAGGCAAGTCAGCTACCAATTTATGGTTATACCACTTTAGTGTGTTCATTATATATGAAGCACCTGATATCGTGGGATGAGCCTCTGAGCAGGTGGTGGCACAGGGGTAAAAGGCAAGCCTAATTCTAAGTATGGTCTACTCTAGTTGGAATTTGTGGACTACAATCCCCAGAGGTCTGTGGGATGTCTAGGGTTTTTAGTCAAGCAATCAAAGTCCTGACAGGTGTTTTCATGTTCTTAGTTGATAATGAATTCACATGTTGGCAGCCATTGTCATCCTGTGGAGAAGACAGGAGAAAATGGCGGGGGGAAGTAAACTTCGTGGGAGCTACAAAGGATTGTGGATCTGGAAGCTTTGTTTTTTGTTTTGTTTGTTTTTGTCTTAAGAAAGACTTGCTGGACAAAGATTCCCACACCAATAATTCCTTGAGACTTCCACAAAACCTAGCCCTGCCTTTCCACTTCCCTGTTTGATCAAAGCTCCCAGAAATCTGGCCGAGGAAATTCCTGCAGACCTTTAGGGTTGTAGGGTTGGGAGTTTCATTCTGTACTCTGCCTCTAAGGAGAAAAGCCACCTTATGTAGCCTTGGGCAAGTCACGTAGTTCCAGAGTTTCCCTGAAGAAAGGAATGGGAAGATAACTTCTGAGTACTCCATACCAAGAACACCCTGGAAAGAATGGCTTAAGTCAGAATTTACTTGATAGAACGTCATCAAGTGTTCTTTGAGATTGCGGAGTAGTAACACTCCACTGACATCATGCTCCATGCCATCTCTGGCTAATGGGACTGTGGAGATCACCATATTGATATAAATGGGGCTTTATGCTTGCTGAAGGAGTCAATTCTTTCTTATGCAAGCTCAGAAGAAGGCTGACCAGGTGCAATGGACGGCTGCATGAGTAGAACAGACAAGGAGGATACTGGCCAGTGCAATCAGAACTGAATTGGATACAGCTGCTTAACAAGCGAATTTAGATTTTAGCAAATAATTCAATACTATACTGATAACTCCATGCTGAATACTTGCTCAATACTGCATGAAGCGCACTGTCATATGAGGGTCAGGATAATATTTATTAACATTTAAAACTCATCGGGGAATGTTGTGATTTGTTGGAATAATATATATACTAGGAAAGGATGAGATTAGAAATGCTGACAATTACATAATAAGGATTGTTATTTTTGCTGAAAATGTTGATGCAATTTAAAACCCTGCAGAATAAAAATGTATTTGTTCTATTTCACATCTATGTGTTTCTTGGCTTGATGTATTTATTTTGTAGAATTCTTTAACCAATATTTATATTTAAATGGTTTATTGTTTTTAAGAGCTGCTCATACTGTCCCAATGATTAATGCACCACTAGGATCATTTAATTTTCCGTCTCTCTCCTAATACTTCCTAATGTTGTATTTTCTGTTTTCCCTGACGCTGGGCTGTCCTTTTCATAAAACTTTCTACTGTGACAGTAAGATCTCTTTCCTAAGAGCTAATTAAAATCTCATGGTTATGTATCTAAAGTTAGGCTTCTTTTTACCAAAATGCCACTTTGGACTTCGGTGGAACCTGTGACTTCCCAGGTATGCAACAGCTGTCTAGACATGGACTGAGAAGCCAAGGAGGAAAACAAGGGGATCCTCTGAGCCAAACAAGCTCAAGACCCAAGCAATCCAGGCCCTAGAGTCTGGAACTATACCAGCCAAACACTCTTGAATTTGAGACCTCCAAGTCTGTACTAACTGTGACACCCCTGAGCAATATGGTGCAGGCTGCCTCTTCTAGGAGCTTCCAAGCCCAGGAACCAGTAAGCCAATACCAACAGCATGCTCCCAACTGGAATGGAGACAGGCCAGGGAAATGCTTCTTTAAGGTCTTCCTAGTTGGAGGAAAAGAAGGGAGATTCTAAAAGGAGTAGTCCTGAGTCTTTGGCATAAGAGGCCACAGTGCATCTATAGTCATTGTTGCTGCAAGTGCTTCACCAAATGCTGTCCCTGACCTGTGGGCTCTGCAGATGCCCCCTGGAAAACAACAGAAACTCACCTGCCATTTTGCCATCCACTTATCCAGTCTAGGAAATATCCTTTTAAAGATCTTCAAGATCTACTTGAGATTTTACCATCTCTAATAATTGTTTTCACCTGGGAAGGATAACATCCCTGTTGAAGTGCTGAAGAGCTGTAAAGCGATCATCAGCACTGAACTGTATGAAGTCTTTTGTCTTTGCTGGAGGGAAGGTGGAGTACCACAGGACATGAAGGATGCAAACACTGTCACGTTGTACAAGAACAAAGGTGACAGGGCGACTGCAATAACTACCGTGGCATCTCTCTCCTCAGTGTTGCAGGGAAGCTGCTCGCCCGTGTTGTGCTGAAGAGACTCCAGGTGCTTGCAGACAGAGTCTATCCAGAATCACAGTGTGGATTTCGAGCTAATAGATCCACCACTGATATGGTATTTTCCCTCAGATAGTTGCAGGAGAAATGTAGGGAACAACGACAGCCACTTTTTGTGGCCTTCATAGATCTTTAAAAGGCCTTTGACTTGGTTAGCAGGGATAGCCTTTTTTAAAATACTTCCAAAGATTGGATGATCACCTTAACTCCTTAACATCTTCAGGTCCTTTCATGAGGAAATGAAGGGCACTGTAGCTTTTAATGGTTCAACATCAGATCCCTTACACATTTGAAGTGGAGTGAAACAGGGCTGTGTCATCACGCCGACTATGTCTGGGATCTTTTTTGCTGTCATGCTGAAGCAGGCCTTTGGAATTGCAAGAGAAAGTGTCTATCTC